GTATGAACGCCGTGCCTTGTAGAGTTCTCTCTTCATAGTGGTTAAGGCAGGCGTCCACCATGGGACAGGTCGAGCTCTCGCCTTCCGGTGCTGAAGGGATTCTTCAGCGGTATCGCGGATGACATCAGTGATCCTGGATACTCGGTAATCCAGATCATCTGTTTGCTCCGTTTCCGCCTCATCCCAGTCTTCGTCGACCAGTTTTCCCTCCAGCAATGACCGGAAGGCACTCCAATTTCCTTTTCGAGTAAGGTAACCTTTTTCTATTCCGAGGGAAACTTCTGTATTTTCCGTCAGCCTAAAGGCTATCGCTTGGTGGTCGGAACTCGTTTCAGATCGGAGGACCCAATCGATAATGCGGTTTGCCAGCACCGGTGATACCAAGGTAACATCAATCCAGCTCTGCCCCCTAGCGCTAGAGAACGTCGGGGTAGCAGAGGGATCGTTCATAACCACTAGATGGTTTCGGGCAATAAATTCACCGAGCTTAGCGCCCCTTCTATTAGTTCGATTAGATCCCCAGACCGTGTTCCAGGAGTTGGTATCTGAGCATATGATCACGTTCCTGGTGCAAGCCGTGATCATCTCCATGGCGGATATGTCTTCGTCAATATCGCCCCCGTCCGGTAAATATGATGAGACCAGCGTAAAGGCAACATGGTTCCATCTGATATGACAAGCAACACAATCCGCCATGGTAAACTGCCTCAGATCCATCACATCGAGGTTGGGGTTGTTAACCACAATAGCAGCCCTGGGCCTCCTCTCTCCACTGCTCAAGGCTATAACCCTCGATGTGAGACCAAACCCCGTGACCTTGTTTCCCCAGCAACTCGGTTCCTGGACTGCCATGATGTCGTAGCTTTGTGAGAGGGAGCGTAGCTCTTCCGCAACTAGACGCCGGCGGCCCATATTGAGCTGAAGGATGGAGATCTTATTCATAAGAAGTCCTCATCGCCATTTTTTGTGACCAATTTAAATGCACAGGACAATCACGACTGCCCGCCTTATGCTTAGTGTGTCTCGGATGGGCCTTTGCCCTCACACAGTTGATGCATGTCGGCCCTGCCTGAGCTAGTTTTTTGGGGCACTCCTTGAGAAAATGACCAGTACCTGCACACCAGATGCAGACCAGTGCATCTGTTGGACATGTGGCCTTAGAGTGCCCGTAGTCCTGACACTTGGTACAACGGGGGGCGTCGAGGTTATCTTCAAAGGTCATTGACCACCATCCTCCATTCAAGCTTGCCATGTCTAATAGATGGAATCGTAGGGTTGGGTGCACTTCCAGCACCCAGTTTTTAGTTATTCCATTCCTTGCTGTAGATGAGAAAACAGGCCGAAGTCCATCGTTCACGAGCGAAGCTGGGATCGATTTATCAATTAGCTTTGCCCGTAAAAGCGTAATTAATGCCTCCGCAGTCCACGAATTGGGCACACCTTTAATTTCAAGCCTAGGTCGTTTCTTAAGTGCAAGCTTGGCCTCTAGTCCTACTTCTCGTAGACCCTGCCACCCAATAACTTTCGCCGCTTGGGAGCTATCTTCCATCCGAACTAAGACCGAGCCTCCCTTAGTAGCACGTACTATGGAGGCATTAACTCCTATTTCAGTAGGAGATGGCAGCCCACTGATGATTTCCACGGGACTTTTACCGGGCCCACTAATTGTGACGTAGGTGGGTTTAGAGTTAGATATCTCTGCCGGCTTCAATGGCAGAGATTTTACAATATCTGCCATTGTCCGTGGCTTACTTTGTAATTGGGCTGAATCTTCAGGAGAGACATGACTGGTCGGCTCAATCAGGTTATTTAAATTACTAGCTGCCTTGTTAGCTGCTTTGGTCCTCCTGCGGCTTCTTTTACTGACTACGACTTTGTAGGGTTCAGTAGCCGCTGAGGGTCCAGCCGGGCTTGCTTCTCTGATATCTGCTTGCGCTTCACTTGAGTGACCGGCTTTGGCTAAGATTTGTGGTTGTGGTTCCACTCGAGCTGCCGTTAGTCCCTCAATAATTTTGGGCACCGTTTTTTCTATTACAAGTCGAGCAATCATCTCATGAATACTAGGAGTCTTAAGTGACTCATGAACCGCTTTTTGGATGAGCTCAGAAACGTCTTCATTTGTGTGTGCCTTTTTACTTTTGTCGTCTAGGGTTTCAATTATATCTATCAAGGTTAGAATTTTTCTATTTATATAATTTTGTACCTTGATATTCAACCCATTATCTGCCCGTTGAACATAAACCCTAAGATTCTCCTGGATTTGTAAGGCCGATTGTAGTAAACTTTTAGCTGCAGCCTCCTCCGAGTTTGCCTCCAAATCAAGAGAACCCTTTCTTGCCCGTTTGGCATTTCGCTTGGAAACCTTTTGGGAACTCTCCTCTTCCATATCAATAACAATTGGGTCAACCATACTGTAAGAAACTAGTAAACACTACAAATGATTTCAGTTTATAGTACACTACAGTTTAGAGGTTAACTAACTACGTTTATTAAATGAAAGTTACCTTTCTATTTATGTCCAATGAAACTTGTATACAAGTTCTCTGTTATAAGTTTTAGCTCTCGTAGGAACGATTAAAGTCCAGAAAGTCTTCAACTACGAGAAGATTACGAACTCGTAGTTCCACTTAACCTTACTTAAAACTAAAAACTTATTTACAAAAGAAAACTCAAAAAAAAAGAACAAGAAAACATAATGAACAGTAAATTGGAAAACACTAGAACACGAACAATAACAAAATAAGTATATATACACCAGTCACAAGTCTAAACACAATACTTTGGAGAACCAATACGTTATCACCAATCACTATCACAATAACCTCCAAGGATATAACATTTGGAGTAGAACATATAAAATGGTATAAATATATATGTATCATTGTATCAATTACACATATTGTATATTTTAACAAAAATATTTCATATTTTGAATAGCGATGTTTTATGCTAAAATCATTTTAAAATTTGACCACGCACTATAGTAATATTTTTCAAATCATAAACTCTACAAAGAGTTTTGATTGAAATTCAGTTTAAAGAATCAGAAAATAAAGATACAAACTGTATAAGTAGCTAACTTTCTTTTATTATTTTTCTTTTAGTATTTTATGAGAACCACCATTATTTGTACAAAAAATGTATTTTTTTTTTCTTTGAAAATACGTTTTTTTATCAACTTCTATATAGTATTTTTTTTTTCAACACCATGGTTGTCCTAATTCTTTAACATGTTTTCTTCGACTTTTTTTGTATCTTTTTTTTCTCTCGAAATACGTATATTAATCAACTATTTTTAAAATATACATTTTTGAAATATTTTACTAATCAACGTTGACTCTGATAAATTATTATTAATTCATTGGTTATAAATTTAGATAAATTTATTGCAAATTTAATATTTATATCTCAAGACATACTCAAAACTATAACACAACCTTAAAATTTTAACGAATGGAAAATGCAGATTCTACTCACATATACTAAGCATATTATAATGCAAATTTAACACACTCATTGAAATTCGGTATTTAAAACAATGCTTTGGTTCCGGTTTGAAGGTAATAGTAAGTTATCCGAGAACTACCTACGTTTCCGTTTGTTTTTAACCCATTCAGATCAGCTTAAAATATGAGGTATTCTCCTTTATTCTCTGGAAGTATGTTTAAATGCAGTGGTTACCTCGAAAGAGTATAAAATATGCTGTATGAATAATTTTAGTATTTAACGTTAACTCAAATTCCCCTCTCCTGAACCCACGGAATCGGTCATATTAAACAAACCTTGAATGTAAATTTTATAACCAGTCTCCTATAAATTCTTTTTCTGCCTCTTATACCCTTTTTCAAAATTGTTGAGACTCGCAAAATATTCATCGAGATCCGTTTATATTTCGCTTTCGAATTTTATATCATTATTTTGAATCATGCGGAATTGTCCATAAGGCAAAAACTCTTGCAGTTATATTATAATTTGATTTTAATTATTTATTCATGTTTTTGTTACCTCTACTCTGTAGGGTCATTGGCAACACCTTTTATTTACACTCTGTTTTAGAAATTTATTCTTTTTAAAAATTCAAACGTTTTTTTAAGACCTATTCCTCTGTCAAACTTTTTCCTAACTGTTATTTAATTTTAAATTAAGTATATTTGATAAAAAAAATAAATAAATAAAAGATATTTCATTCACAACCATTTCAAAATTATTTCCCAATATCATCAGACTGTAAGCCAAAAGGCAGTAGGCCTTTTTTGTAATATTGTTGTGTCAAGGAATAATTTTACGCAAGCGTTAACAAACATAGTAGATGTATTCCGATAAAATTGATAAAAGTCCATCTAATGTAAGTACTAACTCGCACAATTCCTGGAGCTTTTATCAATATTGGACTTACAATAGGTCAATGCAACGTGGATTTGACAGACAGAAAGGCATGTTGGGGGCGGGGTAGCCGAGCGCAACCCATGGCAATCTGATGAAAGATAATGAGATAAAATAATTACGAGTTCATGTGCCGGTGCCGGTGGGGGAGGAACTTTTAACTCTTACATTAATCCCTCGCCCTCACCTCTGGCCATGGAAAACTCCGTATAGTCTACACTACTAGGAAGAAGAGGACATAAAAAAATCAGAAAGACATAGTACAAATTCGGTGTTGGTCTTAAACTTTGCAAGACCAAGAGCGAGGCAAGACAATTTGAGTTAATATGTGTAAATAATTGATATAACCAATATACTTTTTCATTTAATTCTTCTAATTTTTCATTAGGGCTTAATTAGCTTTCTCCTATCTAGAAATTACAGTAATATCTCTATAGTAACTAACTAATAGGTCACTGCAAGACTGTTGCGAGACCCTTGAGCAAGGCCAAGACTGAGTGCCCAAGACCAAACTCGTCTTGGTCTCGCATTTGGGCAACACTAATTGTGATCTTTGTAAAACCTTAATCTGTTACCGATTAATGTAATAAGTCGAATACAATATTATAAATAATGGACTAAAGGATATCAGGAATAGCGGATTTAAATTTAATTTGATTTCGTTTAAGGTTGGATGACTGCTCGGTATCCCAGAGAGGGTTCTCTTGGAATTGGACGGCTCTTGGTGCCATTGCCAAAGGGGGTACTCGAGGAGCTGGGCGGTCAAAAGGGTTATCCTCCGTTCCGATCGAGCCGAGTATCGTCTTAGGATAGTCAAGTTTGAATCTATTTTTAAAACCGTGTCTTTCTAACTCGCCAATACAATACAACAAACGCATTATATATACGTACACATTTATATAAATAGTACATATATATGTACATAAATAGTATATATAGAATATGATAGAATATACAAATAATTTTACTCTGGGACGAAGCCCCTTTAACAAAACAAAAAAGTACAAAATTAAAGTATCATATCTGGCCTTAGTAAAAGCAAACATAAAAAGTAAAAATAATGAAAAAAAAGTAAAGAAAATATTAGTTAAACATACTATGTACAAAATAAAAAAAAATCTATATACAAAATACTTGAAACTATGCCGAGACACTTAAAACTATGTACAGTGGTAAAACATAAATATAAAATTTAAAAAAAAAAAATAAATAAATGCATTACATTGTTCTCCTAGCAATAAACTCAGTGTTTCTGAAGAAAGAAAAAGAAGACGAATCTGATAGTAAGTATTCAAGTCATGAATTATATGTAAATATACCATTATGTGAACCATTTTGAATAGTACATAAATTTACATGAAAGGTTAGCGGGGACTGTTTTTGGGATAGAAATTGGAATAGGAAGATTTTAAATTTAGATATATATATATATATATACATACATACATATCACAATAAGTGATGAAGCTTCATACAATATCACGGCTATTAAAGTTACAATTTACTTTATACACTGATAAGTGACTAGCTTGTACCGCTGGAAAATAATTTATTGTAATGGGATCAATTTATTTTCAGTTTAAAATCCATATAAATAAAATAAAGGTTTTGCCTGTAGAATCAACCCGTTTTATGACATCTTTCCGTTTCATACATTGCAGACACTAAATCCACTAAAAAAATTTTTTTTTGTCTGTCTGTATGTCCGCATTGCAACGAAATTTCGTCAGAGGTAAGCTCAGCAATGGCTTATTGTAGACTTTTGAAATTTTAACATTATATTAAGGTTTGCTTGACTTAAAACATAGACCTTAAATGAAAACAAAATATTGAGTATAACCAAAGTTATGAATTTGACTAGAGTAATTCTTGAGTAATTTGACTAGAGATCTCGGTTAATGTTGATAATAAATGTTAATAGTAAACATATGTTTATAGGTTAAAGAACATCTATATAAACTAGTTAAGCTATAAAACATAGCTACCTCTGGACCTATTCTAATCCATTATTGTACTCTTTTAAGATATATTTGTTTCGAAGCAGAAGATCTTTGGCGAGTAGTTGCCTCATTAAGAGTATAAAAGTTTATTACTGAGAGTATAGGAGCCATACCTCGATATATATGATGTCCTATAAGTAGTAGAGGGAAGTATTTAAAAGTTTGATAGTGTGCATCAAGATCTACAGAAGAGATCATATAAACAGTTCCCCAATTTCCAGCAAAAACTAGGAAATTCAAGATTTTTCTTTTTAAGCTACTCACGTTTTTGTTGAATAGGAAGCAGTAATATAAAAAAGATTTGAATTAAGTTACTAAACATTGCTTCATAGTAAACTAGATAAATCTTAATTTAAGCGAGAGTAGAGTTTGTAGTTGTTAAAACTATTTTAACAGCACATTTGAGCTGACAAAAGAGCTAATCTTCGTTTAAAACAAGTGATATTATTATTTGTGATTTTTTTTTTATCATTCTTACTACATTTACCCCATTTTTAGAAGAAAAAAAATCCTCGTTTAGTAATCTTTAAGTCCATATTAATCACGTTATTTTCTGCTGAAATAACTACAGTAAATAACTATATTTATAACAGTAAATAACTATATTTATAACAGTAAATAAATGTTGCAATGATTTTGTTTCCTGTTTGTTTGTTTAGCTTAGAATTGCCAGAAGCTTAGTATATGCGCTGGTGGAGGGTGCTGAGACTGTCGGTATGTTCATGACCTGAGGTATGAAAGCTCTATTTTAAAACTTTGAAGAGTATCCCATTGTTAACTTATAAAAACCCGAGATCGAAACGTCGAATAAACACAGAAGCAATGAACATATAGTAGTTTATTGAATAATTATTAAGTGATCTTATTCCCCATTAAATAATTATTTTGAAATATAATACTCAAAGATCGATGAAAGAAATTTTGTAAATATATATATATTTGTATAAGCATATTCGACGGGGAGGTCTGATGGTAAAATGGGAAACCTATTGATTGACCGGTAGATATTCTGTTAAATGAATTGAACGTAATTAGAACAAACTTTATGATGGAGGAATAGTTCTAATTTGTTTTGGTGTTCTCATGAAATCACTATATATATATATTTCTTTTGGTTTTAAAAATGATATTCCAATTCGATAGTGAATAATTTTGTTGATAGTTGTTTAAAATTTACAAAATAATGTAATACTTTTTCTTTTATGAATCATAAGCAAAAGACCCCATTGGAACAACAAATCTGAGAGAGATATAGAAGTTTGGAATTGTATTGCCCGAAAGTTCTGGACTTTTCAACAAGTTTGCCAACCGCCGTTCTTAGAAACCGATGCTTAAGTAATTTGGAGATTTATTAGGCATTAAGTTTGCAGAAGAAGCTTTTGAGGCGCATCTCTTCGAGTTATCACAATTAACATTGGCTAATACTTTGAAACATTTTCACTGTATCTTTCTTTGGCCTTTTGAATAAAACAACTTGAATCTTTTTAATTCTGATTCCAGAGATGTATTGCGGTCTAAAATATTAATCAGGATATTACTAAATTTTCTGTAACGCTATTAGAAACGTTCATTTAGAAAATTTTCAATCTTTCTCATCAAATCACTAGTAGTGTAGCCCAAAATCGGTCTTGGTCTTGCACTTTGCAAGACCAATACCAAGGCCGCCTAACTGTTGCAAGACCAAGACCAGGACTGGTAAAAAAAATCGATTTTTTAAATAAAAATTAAAGCAAAATAGTTACTAATACTTGATAACCTTAGATACTATATGTTAATAACTGGTATAACCAATATACTTTTGCATTTAACTCCTCTAATTTTTCATTGGGGCTTAGTTAGGTTTCCCACATCTAAAAAAATACAGTAATATCTCTGTAGTAATAAGCTAATAAGTAACTGCAAGACTATTGCGCTGAGTGTGTTGTGCAAGACCAAGGCTTGCATCTCGGTCTCGTATTTGGACAACACTAATCACAAGTAACCAGCGATTTTTTTTTCTTACTAAATTGAGGTAGATTATATACTGATAGGTTCACCTGTTTCTTGGTTGTAATTAATTTTTTTTTTTTTACTGTTATCTCTGAATATAAGTACATTATGAACATGAACATTAAGACTATAAACCATTAGCTTAAATCCAAATATTTCACTAATTTAGCATTTGTTTTTCTTATATAGCATTTCTAATGTATGATTATTCAGTAAATTACTTTAGATAAGGATGGTTGGCTCCTGTGAATAATTAACGGAGTTTATTGGTCACTGAAAGAATTAACTTTCTTTCCGTTTGTCGATGACAATAGTTTATACAAATTAATAAATCATAACATGAGCTTAATGTTTGCTAATGGTTCGATTTAAATGAGTTTTCTTCGTTTTGTAGGGAATTTTGGAAACTTTCAAACTATGAGTAAAATCGTCCATAATTTTTATATTTTATGTTAATCTCAAATACAGTATCTTTTTCAACATTTTTTTTCTCGAATTTCTAGTTGATGTACTTTTTTTTCCATCTGAAGGAGAATATAATTTTCAAACTTGTCTCTCGATCATTGCATTTCATAAAGAATTAACGAATATAGGGTGTAGAAAAAAGTAACAAAAACACGCCTTTGTGAAATAATTTATAAGGATAACAAAACAAATAGGTGCCCAACCCTTTTTAATAACATAAAAATGAAATATTTTGACATTTTTTTTTTCTTTTTAACATTCTGGCCATCATTCTGACAAATACCAAGCTGAACAGCCCCCCTCCTTAAAAAAAATACATATAAAAAAAAAAAGAATCAAGGACATAACACCAGATCGATTTCCTCTTAGACAATCTGACGGAAAGTATGTTGGATTGCCGAAGTGATTTCTGTCTTGTTGCGAGGAATTCCCAACACTCCTTGTTTTATAAGAAACAGTGTTCTCTCTTCCATATTGAATTGACTAACATTTATTCCTCCGATTTTTTGTACAAGTTTATATATATATATATATATATATATATATATACATTTTTTGTTTTTAAACCAAAATTTGTAATGACTTTCGGAAATAATGTTGTTCTGTTTCTAATAGCTGTCAACAATATTCTTGATCTACAACTCTAGACTCAAAATATATTCTAGATATTACAAGAAATTCATATTTCTGATTTTAAAAAGTATCACTAAAGAATAATTATTATTGTTAATAGTAAAATTTTGTTCAAAAATAATTATCAGGATATGGTTTTTGTCACTTATGATCAAAAATAAAAATCATCAATGATTTTTAAAAATTTCGGATTAAAATTTTGATAAGTTTCGTTGTTATTTGTATTTATTTATTTTTTAATTTAAGCACGAATGTGCTTTAATATTTTTATTAATGTTGTATCAAGTTACATTATTTTGTTTTATTGCGTTTTCTTTTTCTTTTCTTTTGTTATAATTTTTCTTTCTTTTTTTATGGTATATATGGTATGGATGAGAACACAGCTGTAATAATCTACGCCATTATTTGAGACAAAATTTATTATTTCTCAATAAAATAAAATATTTGACTTCTTCAAAAAAAAAAAAAAAAAAAATGTTTAATTACCGATTTCAAACCCTGGATCATACTTTTGGTCATATACACTTGTTTTGCAATATTTTTGATATATATATATATATATATATATATATTCTTCTGTTGCTAATTTTATATGAAATAACCGTTTTATTTTGGAATTCGGACTATTTATTTTCAATCTGTTATTTTCTACAGCAAATTCACTGCAGGATGTATATAAATGTAGGAAATATATAGAGAGTATTCCTCAATTGATTTTTAACATTCATCTTAAGATCCTATGTCCAGTTATCTGAAAATCAGAGATTGTACGCAATAAGATTTTCTATAAG